TTCCAAAAGACAGGGCTATTTTAAGGCTTTGATGAGGCTGTCGCTTCGCTAAAGCCGATGCATTTCATTGAAGCATCCCTTTGAATGCTTTGCAACTCTAGTTTTTATTCATTGTTCATTTTTAACATTAAGTATGAAGGAGAGATATGAAGAGGAGAAAAAAGGGATTTAAAAAAATCAACATGAATTTCTATAGACTGTTCAATCAGTCTTACATGTATGTTCACATATTATGCATAAATGATTTCTTTACATTTATGTGAATTTAATGCAACTTTAAAAGAGGAAACAACATACAGAAAATAATTCATAGAGTTCGTCAACATATATTCAGATCAGATTTCTAAATAGTCCCCCTAGTATTATCTTGATCAAACAAGGGGCTAAGTGAGTAAAAGCTCTCTTTTACCTACCATAAACTTCTATCACCAGGCTTCTAAACAGCACAGTTATTTATTATAGATCTCATCCATCCACTGAGCCGTTAACCTTTTACCGCACCATCTACTATGATGAATGAATGGCTAGAGCTAAGTGATTTTGTTTTTATACCAGCAGATGAATCAATTGCCCCTTGAGATATTTGGAGGGGGCACACAGCACTAAAATATGTACAAACATACTACTGAAGAGGAAAAGGATGAAACTAAACCACCTATGATTCCAGTTAATAAATTCAATTCAATAAGAATTCATTCAAGGTCAGGATCATTTTATTAAAAAAAAAAAGTCTACAATTATTTTCACAAAGTGAAGAGGCTTCGCTTGCCTATCTCTACAATCCTGATTTTTATCCCAAAGATTATCACAGTAAATATGTAATTTAATTTACCTTTACCTTGTACAAAAAATGTATCTTCTAAAACAATATAGAAATACTGACAGATCAGTCACAAGCATCCGCAGAAGTTTTCCAATGAGCAATAATCCCAAACCTTCAGCTAAAAGAGCAGGTGTCAGGCACGGCTAGGTGTGTTGTGCACCAGTTGCACCATTATTTGGATCGTGAGAGTCTGCACATGGTCACCCATTCCCTAGTCATCTCTTAGCTGGAGAACAGCAATTTGCTCTATCTGGGGCTACCCTTGAAGAGTATTGGGAAGCTGCAGCAGGTGCAGAATGCAGCAGTTTGCACATTCCTGGGAGCCCCTAAGGCTGCCCATATAATACCACTATTGCATGAGCTGCAACGGTTTCCAGTTTTCTTCCAGATCCAATTCAAGGTGTTGGTTGTTACCTTTAAAGCCCTACATGGCATGGATTCAGAGTATGTCAGGAGCTGCCTTTCCCTAACTAGCCCTCCCCACTGAATAGAATAGAATAGAATAGAATAGAATAGAATAGAATAGAATAGAATTTTTATTGGCCAAGTGTGATTGGACACACAAGGAATTTGTCTTGGTGCATATGCTCTCAGTGTACATAAAATAAAAGATATGTTCATCAAGAATCATAAGGTACAACACTTAATGATAGTCATAGGTTACAAATAAGCATAAACTTGCTCCAGTTTAAGAGGCCTACTACGGATCCCATTCGCTAAAGAATTCCAGCAGATGGGTTCAAGGAGAAGAGCTTTTCTACTGTGACCCCAATCCTTTTAGAATACTCTACTACTGGAAATGAGAACTGCTCCCACTCTTTTGGCCCTCTGGAAGGTTATTAAAACTTGGCTTTGCCAGTTGGCCACAGACCCCAATTGGGACACTCATCATTGGAGGTAGGACCCATTATGTTGTCCCATAATCGCTGTGATTGGATAGGAGTGCATCTACCCAAAAAATTTTAAAAAATTGAGCAGACCAGAATGGCATTTTAACCAGCTCTGTTATTTAAAAAATAGCTGCATTTCTGAAGATCAAAAAACTATCCTACCAATGTAGATAAAATTCATCATTAGTTTACAACGTTGCTCAAAATGGCACAATAGTTGAGAAACGATTCCTGCAAGAAATTCTAGAATTCTTGTGATCATCTGGAGCAAACAGCAATATGGTGTGGCAGATGACAACTCTACAAGCTCCTCTAGTTCTTCTACCTAAGCGCAATTCTGCCACAGAACTGCCTTAATAACAGCCGATAAAAGGAGCAGATTTTACTTGCCAAATGAAGACATCTACAACAATGTAGCTAGTCTAGCCACAGGGACTTTACAACAACAGTAAATCCCCCAAAACCCATTTACTCGCCTATCTGATAGAATCATGATGCCAAATGGGGCTTGGAATTCGACATAGGAGACCTTCCTTGCAACAGGACTAGGAGATCAGCATATATCAAAGTTGTAACATGAATAGTATGGTCTGCTCTTCTAGGATGTTAATTACAACCTCATTTAATCTGACTCAATATTCTTACATATGGCCAAAGTAAATTCCTTGGCATAAACAGAGTTCTCACCTAAAACGTGCCTTCCCCAATTACATTTTAAGTTGATGGTTGGATGTATCTACGTACCTATGTATGTATGGTAAATGAGAGAAATAAGCTATATTTCAGTTATCTTTAGAAAATGCTTATTAATGAAGCAGACAAGGGCTGAAAAATCATTGCAGTCCCATCGTTTTGCTTCACTTGTTATCTTCAAATGCCAGATGAGATATACCAGTGATGGCTAACCTTTTTGCCGTCGTGTGCCAAAAGCGGGGGGGGAGTGTGGGGGGTGGAGCGCACGCGTACCCACACCCATAATTCAATGTGCCCCACCCCCCATGCATGCACGTGAGACCCCCCCCCCTGCGCTCCCACTGCTTTTGGCCCGTGATGGCATGGTGGGCCCGGTAGGCCTGTTTTTTGCCCTCCCCAGGCTTCAGAGGCTTTCTAGGAGCCTTCCCCAACCCCCCAGAGGCCAGAAACAGCCCATTTCCCAATTTCCAATGGGCCCAAAAGGCCCGAAAATCAGCTGACTGGCATACGCATGCACGCTGGAGCTGACTAGGGCAACGTGTGCCACCTGTGGCTCGCGTGCCATAGGTTCTCCATCACGGAGATATACTATATACTTCTAGGGCATTGCTAGATTGCTAAGGCATTGGAGGATATATATCCTCTCTTGACTTCACCCAGTCAGCTGCAGCAGGCATCAGGGAACTTCATTATATTAGGAAGTAGAAACACTTAGTATAGGTTGTTCTCAACTTACAACCACAATTGGACCAGAGTTTCCATTGCTAAGCAGAGCGGTTGTCAAGTGAATCGCACCCGATTTTGCCACCTTTTGCCATAGTTGTTAATTAAATTACTGCAGTTGTTAAGTGACACATGCAGTCATTAAGCAAGTCTGTCTTCCCCCATTGACTTTGCTTGTCAGAAGATGGCTGGGAAGGTCTCAAATGGGGATCTCATGACCCCTGGACACTGCAACCATATAAATACATTCTGGAGGCCTCGGAGGCCAAAGTGCCTGAATTTCAACCAGTAGACCACAGGGATGCTGCAGCGGTCATAAGTGCAAGAATCAGTTGTGTCACTTTTTTCAAAGTGGTTGTAACTTCGAATGATTGCTAAACAAATGGTTGTAAATCAAGGATTAGCTATAATCAGCAAGTGAAATTGATAGTGTAATTATTTATGGGAAGACTGAGAGCTGTTCTCCTAATTCACATAATAGTAAATTATGTGAATATCATTTCAAATGACTGAAAGGCAGAAGCCAATGAGTACCATTTTTTAATGGAAAATTAAGTTTCTCTTTCTCCATACAATGCTTTCCTGTTCATTGTTGTATAAAACGCAGGGCTTTGTCTTGTTGCCTAAATAAAATTTGCTTGATTGCTTCTTTTTTCTCATATTTAGCCACAACCAATCAGAAATTCATACACAGTGAAGTACAGCATTGATGTTTCATAGATTAATTTTTCATCCATGCCAAATTTCCTTTGGGAGAAAACAGTTCTTATAGTTCTTCTATTTCATTCCACACGCAACAAAATATACTACATTCTAGAGCAGGGGTCCTCAAACTACGGCCCGTGGGCCGGATACGGTCTGCTGAAGCCATTAATCCAGCCCACGTGGGACCACAAGGCTGCCCCACCCACATTACCCCATCTACCCTACCCCATCTACCCACTGCCCCCTACCGCCTTCTGGAGGCCTTGGAGGCCAAAAACGGGTTGCGCAAAGGCCTCAGGAGGCCAAAAACAGGCCCGTTTTTGACCTCCCCAGCCTCCAGAGAGAGAGAAAGAGAAGGAGCGAGAGAGGGAGAGAAAGAGAAAGACACACACACACACACACACACAAACAGAAGTCCCTCACACACACCCCAAGGCAGCCACATCCCTTCACTAACCTGCTTTCCACCCCCAGGAGCATAACAAATTAAAGTGTAATTTGTGTGTATTGTTTAATGGACTGCTAAATTGGCCACATCCATTCAGTCACATGACCACCTAGCCATGCCCACAGAGCCGGTCCAGCCCCCCAACAGTCTGAGGGACTGTGAATTGGCCCCCTGTTTAAAAAGTTTGAGGACCCCTGTTCTAGAGCTATGAGGTGCGCCAATTTTAAAGGAAGAAGGTGCTTCACAACATACATGGGGCATTTAAAGCCACTGCATCTTTTTCTGGGGTTGTGCAACTTCCCTCTGTAATAGCAGCACAGCTCAGAGAAAAGATGTGATGAGTTGTCATTGGGGGTTATGAGCTTATCCCTATGCACTCCAAAGTACTGGATTCCCTTGGAATCCAAACTGTTGCAGAGTCCTAATGCATGTAAAACCTTGAGAAGTCGTCCAGTGGAAAATGTCCCAATTTAGCCAGGAAAGATCCATCTTTAAGTGAATACTCCAATATCAGTAATCACAGGGAAGAAGAGGCTTTCATTGGATCTCCATGCATAGACTATTCATGATTGCACCTCTGGTTCATAACATTTATTTTAACCATGGTTGGTTCTATGTATGTACTAGAACCAAAAACATCTAAGCATTCTTATAACCTGAAAATTATTTTCTTTTTAATCCAGTATGGAAAAATAGTTTTTTAAAAAATAGTACTTACAAATACACTAGAAAACAAATCCAGGTACCCAGAATTCACTGCAAATTTCTTTCGAATTCATGAAACTTATCTGCAGAATAAGGGAAAAAAACAAAAGGAAGAGCAGTTAAAGCCAAGAGCATGCTTATAAAAATTTGTTTTCTAAATAAATATGCAGAGTTTGCTAACCTGCAAAAAAAGATGTATTAATCTGCTGGAATTTGGAGAAGAAAACTAGAGAGACACGTTTCAATAATGAGGGCAGAAAAATGGTTTCCCTTGTTTAACAGGCCGTGTGGTTTCTATAGAGAAGCACTACACTGCCAGCTTTTTTGCTCCAATTATAGTTTAAGCTAAGCGCAAAGTCACTCAAACCACTCACTGTTGCTCCCTCACATGTAACAGATTTTCAAATCAAAACAGAGTCAATTAGATCTCGTGGTTAAAGTGCTGGACTAGGAACCAGGACTGTGAGTTCTAGTCTGCCTTAGGCACTGAAAGCAGGTTGCATAACTTTGGGCCAGTCACTCTCTCTCTCAGCCCAATAACTTCACAGGGTTGTTGTTGTGGGGAAAACAGGAGGTAGAAGGAGTATTAGGTATGTTCACCACCTTGAGTTATTATAATAAAGATGGGATAAAATCAAATAAAATAAATAAACATAAATAAACCATTAAAGTCTCTGTTTATCTTTTAGTAAGTATTAGTACTAATTCGCAATGTACTTTTCAGATGATTTGGGAAAATATAGATATTTCACTATTATCTTTGTATATACAGAAAACCTATCCATGATTTATTTATAACTATATATATATATACATATATATATACATACATACATACATACATACATACATACATATATATATATATATATATATATATATATATATATATATATCCTACACTCTTGATTCTAGGCAGCTTGCAATCATAAATAGCAAATGTACAAATCAAAAACAAGTTATACTTCCCAATGCCTTCCTACCACTGTCTGCCTAATTCAAATTCTCCTGTGGAAAAACACAGTTTTATATTCTTCCTAAAGTTTACAATTGCCCCATCCCCACCCACCCCGGACAAGCCGAGACCCTTCTCTAGTCTCTCTCACACTCACCTCAAAAATGGGAGATGGTATAATTCCAAAGGTACTTTTCCAAAAGGCACCTGGACTTGGGGTTTTTTCCTTGAAAATGTTTCACTTTTCATCCAAGAAGCTTCTTGAGGAGCGAAACATTTTCAAGGAAGAAAACCCAAGAAATTCCAGTTGCCATTTGGAAAAGCATCTTTGGGACAACCATGATGTGGATGATTGAGAAGCTCAACAGATGAGATGGTATAATATACTGGGTGGGTGGAAGCCATTTAAGTGCTGTTAAGAGTTTTTAAAACATTTTTTTGGTTTTGAAGCCAGCTACTGGGTGGGAACATCTGATAATTCAGAGTGAAGTATCATCAATATGCCCATAATACCTAGATTTATATCTCAACTCTGGTCTTGTCATGATGTCATGGTGTCTCGGTGTCTGTGGGAGTCTGGATGGGGATCAACAGGCTTCAGCTAAATCCTAGCAAGACCAAGAGACTTCAGGTTTTAGGGTCCCTATGTTCTACCCCAAACAGAAACTGTGTCCAATTTGGGGGCTTTATTGGACTCACTGCTCCTGTTCAAAAAGCAGGTGGCAGCCAAGGCTAGGAGAATTTAGCTATATGTTGTGTATCCATTGTGCCTATTCTTGGACCAAGAAACCCTGTTCACAGTCATCATGCCCTTGCCACCTCCCAATCTAACTTCTGCAAATCTACATAGGCTGCCCTTGAAGAGCATTTGAAAGCTTCAGCTGATGCAGAAGGCAGCAGGGTAGGTAGTTATGGGCACTTTTCATTCAGCTCATGTGACATCTTTGTTCTACAAACTGTATTGGTTGCCTGTATGCTTCCAGGTTCAATTCAAGATGTTGGTAGTGGGGCCAGGTTACTTGCAGTTCTGTTTTTTCCAGCTATATCTCCTTACCCTATGAGATCTGGTAGGAATGGCATGCTCTAAGCCCCTTCCATTAGGCAGTGTCATCTGGAGGAAACCTTTTCTGTATATTGGTTGCCCTCTAGAAGATTTTTCCCCAGAGATTAGACTCCCCACCACCACTGTACATTCATAATCTTATGTTGTTGATGATGTTGTCTGGTTTTAGCTAAATTCCTATCTTTGTTATTTATTATTTCGCTGCTTTTATCATGTTTTTATTTCCTGTTAGCTGCCGAGAGTCATATGTTTGAGATGGGTGGCCATATAAATTGAACAAACAAATAAATAATTCAAACACTTAGATGCTTCAACATTCATATTACTAGTAATAATTCTAATTAATACAATTAATCCATTAGTGACCTAATGGAAATCATAACAATAGTATAAAAAACACAAAGTTGTAATTTTTTTATAGGACAAATTGTGTCAGAGGTACAAGTTTGAAGTCCTTTGGCTTAATTATTTGTGGTCTGGCCTGACTTTGGAAAGTTATATTAATACAATGTGGTCAGTATTAAACCTCATTCCATTTTTTTTCTTCAAAAATGTCTCTGATTTCTGTCTAGAAAGGTAACATACGCAATTCCAAGCCAGGTTTCCCTTATAGCATTGTTTTTTTCTTGCACAATGAGTCACTTTATGCCTCTAAATACCCTAGTTTCCTCTCTACACTAGAACTCTTGTGTGTTATATGGTAGTTTCACAGGAGTTTATTTTTATTGTTTGGTCTACATGCAGCTGTTTTAGTTTCTGAGACAACAAAAAGCACTTTGTTAAAAGCTCCTTGATACTTTCCAAGACATGAGCCTGGATACCTGTAATATTATTCTGAAAATTGAAATGAATATGAGGCCTTGCTAGGATTGAAAACATTTACTATACCACAGAATTGTTCACAAGTGATTATATTAAAGATGGAATTGCATCCAAATATGTATTCATTTTTTAGAGTTTTGAGGCATACCATAAAACTGCAAGTGTGACAGGTTCTTGCCTAAAGGTTTTTTGAAATTCAAAATCATTATTTCAGAAAGATTCTTTTGAAGATTGTAATCAAAGCAATATTATCCCAATTCATTTTACTATGCAATATGAGATTGGGGGTCACTGTGACAATAAAATGCAAAGTTATACAAATATGTAGTTGTATCCTAATTCTATTTAAAAATATATTTTGGTGGCATATTAATATCTTTAAGTTTTCAATTTTTACAAAATAAACGCCATATAGAAACAATTAATATTTTTTTTCCTGTCACATTCTTTTCTACTACTATATCACAAAAAAACCCACAAAACAGGCACTGTACTTTTGATTTGTAAAATGTAGACAAAAGCAAAAAAAAAATCTCAAGCAGTTTAATATTGTGGAAGATTATTGTGTTCCAATAATATTACACAATACTGAATTGTTTGGGGTTTTTTGCCTAAATTCTTAAATTTTCAATCCTTAATTTATGAGGAAGAATGAATTCATTTTTAAGGAATCACATCTTTTAGAAGAATTGCTTCCTCTGATATTCCTGAAATTGTTTACTATATTGTAGCATGATACTCATATTATTATTATAATTTAAAAAATTAGTCTTCCCTTTTCCTGCTATGAAGTATTGCCTGCATTCTGATGTGGAGCCAAATCATGGTTTAATATTATTTGAATGAACGATGAAGAGGCAATTCATTCTCTCATGGGAAAATGTGATAAATATACTGATTCAAGTTGATTGGTTAGTTATAGTTATGATTTGAGCAAAACAAAGATTGATACATTTATATACAACAGCAAATTCTGCTTCTTTTCTTTTCTTTTTCTTTCTTTTTTTTTTTTTTTTACAAAATCTGAAATACATTAGAAAGCTGCAACATATAAGGAATTTCTGAACTACTTTTATAGGTCTGGGGGGAAAAGTATATACCATCTATAACTCAATATAGAATCAACAAATCTATGATTTGCTATGATCAACAAATCTATGATTTGCTATGATCAAAATTATGCTATTATATAAATCTGCAACCAGACCTGAATCTCATTATCAGATGATTTACACCATTACTGTGCTTTGGAGACACCAATTAAACAAGGACAGCAGTTCGTAAGGTCACAGCTAATTAATCCGAAAAAGTATAAATACACTTTAATATACACCACTTCATGTAGAGAATTTGGGAACAAAGCATCAACACCTCATAATGGGCTACACAATTAAGTATGAAGGTTAAATACACATAGACACTTAACTCAGCCTCTATGTTAAAATATATATTTTATTGCATATAATTTTTGGAAAGTAAATGGGGAAGGATAGGCCATCAAAAAGAACAACATTGGGAAGATTTGCATCTGAAAGCTTTGATGCTTAAGGCAAAATGCAAGTAAGCGACAAGACAAGAAAGAGCAAACCATGTCCAGTGATCCTGAGCAAATTAAAGCCTCCTGTTGTTCAGATAACACCTCAGAACGGGGACTCTGCTTGAGGCTGCATCATTACCAAAGCAGTCAGGCAGAGAAGCTGAAGAACTAAATATATAAGGCTTAGTGTGTTCAACATACTTTCATCCAAGCAACATCCTAAAATATCTGTTTTTTCAGCAAATGTTTTCCTGCGACGGGCTCTGTCTGACACAACAGGCAAGCAATCTGACATTGACAGAGATCACTTTATTCTAGAGTATTGAACATTTCTTCTCTCTCCTGCAGATACCCCCATCTTGCCCTTATAATGTCGATTTATTTTCCAAAGCACCGCAAGGCAGGACAAGAAAGAATGGATGGGAACTCATCAAGGAGAGAAGCAACCTGGAATTAAGGAGAATTGTCCTCACTAACAGTGAGGACAATTAGCCAGTGGAACAGCTTACCTTCAGAAATCGTGAGCGCTCCATCACTGGAGGTTTTTAAGAAGATACTGGACACTCACTTGTCTGAAATGGTATAGGATCATTTCAGGGGACTGGACTAGAAGACCTCCAAGGTCCCTTCCAGCTCTATTCTGATTGCAAATCTCCCCATCCCACTGCAGTCATGAAATACATCCTACAACCAAAGGGCAAGTAAC